TTTTTTTTTTTTTTTTTTTTTTTTTTTTAAGGATTTCTCTGACAAATTTGTATATTCATTATTTTTATATTCAATTTGCAAGGCAGCCACTTCAAGGTAGTACAAATATTTATATTAATAATAAGGAAGGTTAGAATGAAATAAGATGAGACAGTCATAATCAGAGGAAAAGGAATGAGGGAGATGGGTAACATGTTGGTTAGTACTAAAAGTAGGTGGTAAAAGGAATAGAAGAGGTTAGGTATAGGGAGCCAAAAAATATATTTTTGAGTTAAAAAAATTTTGAGCTGAATATTTTGATTGATATGATGGGGGTGGAATTTAAGGATGGGTTGGTTTGAGTTGGTTTCTATTAACAATTGGTTCAAGGTAAATGACTGATCAAAATTACTGGTACGTATGATGCACGATCCTCGCAGTAGAGAGCGCTATTTATGCAATAGCGAAAATCAGACCAGAAAAAAATCAGGCCTGTACGGGATTCGAACCTTTATCATCACGGGTTTATTACGAATCTACTTAACGGCCTGCTCCCGGTTAGCTTGTTAGCTGAATTGGTAGAGCACTGCCCTAGTACCGCAGAGGTCATTGGTTCGAATCCCGTACAGGCCTGATTTTTTTCAGGTCTGATTTTCGCTATTGCATTAATAGCGCTCTCTACTGCGAGCATCGTGCATCATACTTATCTATAACCGCAGTTCAAATATGTGAACTTCATATATTCATCGTATCTGATTTATCATCACGGGTTTATTACGAATCAAATTAACGGCCTGCTCCCACTTGGCTTGTTAGCTCAATTGGTAGAGCGCTGCACTAGTATCGCAGAGGTCAATGGTTCGAACCCCGTACAGGCCTTATTTTTTTCAGGTCTGATTTTCTCTATTGCATTAATAGCGCTGTCTACTGCGAGGATCGTGCATCCTACGTATCTATAACCGCAGTTCCAATATGTGAACTTCGTATATTCATCGTAACCAAAATTATTGGTATATGTCTTAAATTTGAATGGTGATAATAACAGACACAAAAGTAAATTCCAAAATAATTTAATGCTATGAAAACTTAACAAAGCTATTTTGACAACACAGTAAATAATGGAACTATTACAAGATATTAATGAGAGAAAAATTCCCTCTCTCAAATATTAGCTTAATTAAAACAGTGGAAGTTTACCTATGTAAAATTAACAGTAATTCGTTTTGAAATGATAGATATTTAACGTTGATTAAAAAATAAATGGCTTCTTGTTTCGTAATTTTCCCAATCCTAAAGAGCCACTTTCCTCGATGTAAATCAAAGTAAAACCAAATGCATGAGTTTGAGTCAACATAGTTCACAACGAAATCCATCTGTTATCGCCATACCTCAGTCTCCTTCGGCACTTTAGTAAAATTTGATTTCACAGGCGTTAACGTTACACCACTTGCTCCCTGATTGATATCTCGCTTTTTTTCTTCCCTGTATGTACAAAATTTCGAAAAGGCTTACAGGAATTAAGTTTAATTAATTGGAATGTCGGTCGGAAAACGGCTATGAGCAGCGATCATCTCGCTTTTCAATCGTTCGACGATGATGTAAACAAACTGGAGTTTCTTCAGGCAAGTTCACAGCTCTTGCCAAACCAAGTGGCAGGGGCTTATAATTTCCGTAAAAAGCTTCTTTACTGCTCCTTGTTTTACCGACGCACCAACATTTTGCATGAAGGGACAAAAAAGTGATCAGAAAAAGCCAACACGACACTGTAAACGTTTTCCGCAAATTGAGCCAGTTCGCAACCGTATGGAAACTTCGCAGCGAAGACGGTTTTTCGGCGCGAGAACAATTTTTGTACAATTTGTAGACCCTCTCAATTTTTTTAAATTCTTCTCTTCTTTTCAAAAATGAGAATTAAAACCTTATCTTTTAAACGGCTTCCTTATTTTTTCAACTTTTGTAACGGCTGTCCATTTCCCGCAAAATTTATTGAGTTTACAGAAGCGCGCGTCTGAGCCCGCGTTACGTACCGCGGGTCCTTGGCGCAGGCGCAGACGTTTTTCATCCCTGTCTCAATATTTAAAAAAGAGAGGTAATGGTGTCTATTGGGATAAACTCGTTCTCGGCTATAATTTGGATATATCAACAAAGTTGAAGGGGTAAATTGGCCACCATAACGATTACAAAAGCTGACGTTTCGCGCGTTAGCCCTTCGTCGAAGTTATAGTTCAAGTGCTATAGTTCAAGTTATTAAACATGTCGTGTATTATACCTAATTGGGTCTGCCTCTGACTCGAGTAGATTGGATTCTCACATTTTTAACTATCGAACTTATCTGAATAGCTTCATCTTGTTATTACTTTCTTGAAATTTCAACCAGCTTGTGTGGTTTAGTTTAACACCAATCTCACTCCCCACGGTGAACGGCTTGACATTGTGAATATACTGTGCCACGGGCCGTTTTATTTCTCGTGTT